GGGGGGGGGGGGGGGGGACAACACCACAATCGGTGCGAGAACCCCCTCGACAACGGTATTGGACACACCACGTTTGAACCCTAATCCCCCACGTTTTATGCTTGGCACGGACGACACTCTACGGTGTATGTTTCCAGGCAGACTGCGTGCTGTTTTCTCACCAGTTCCAGGTCTTGCGTAGTGCAGATTTGACCGCGAGCCGAAGGTAGGGCTTCGTCGTCATGCACATCGATGCCGTTGAACCGAATGGATCGAAACGATCCACGACCGCCGAGGTCCGGCGTATTGAGGGTGACCTGGACCATACCAACGCAACGAAATACACCCGATGGTCTTCACACAAGTAAAGAAAGCGCAGCCATTTCAACGCAAACTCGAACGGATATGTCTAGATAATCGCCCTCTACGTTGGCGGTCAAAATTCTAGACGCGAACAAGAATAGAACCACAACCGCCAACCGCTGGCACGCGACTGTGGGCGACCCTCACCTTCACCTCTGCTCCCTGGCCGTTCCTTGAGAAGACCACCATATCATTCGGTAGTCTTGTCACGGACCAACCCAAGGGCAACGACTTGAAGCGGTCGTGGTAGGATACGCTCCACTCGCACGACTCGATACAATACAAGTTCGTTTTGTTGCGCTTGCCCCCGTCGCGAACACAGAAGTAATCCTGGTGCTTCTTCAGTTCACGCGAGCATGACGACAGCCGGTGTGAGCCCAAGAGGATGGGCGGAGGGGTGCCGGGGATGGGGAGGGGGGGCGCAGACGAGAACCCCGAATATCGCATGGGAAGGCGACTTTCACAGCCGGTCGCGACTCAGCGGCAAAGGGTACGATACACTACCAAACACAAATGTAGTCTCACGGGCGCACTCAGAGACACGCCGGCCGATCACACGACAAGAATACACCGTACCTCTAAGATGGTACCGAGGTGGCGTGCCATTTGTGGAGGGGTCGCGTCGAAGTCCACTATACCCGCAAAACCTGACGTGGCTAGCCAAGCACGCACCCAGCCTATAACTTCCCCGGCGGTTCCGATCCTCGGCGTGCCGGCCCGATGGTGGTGCTTGAGATAGAGGCACAGAGGCAACAAGGTATTCAGTTGCGTGCCATCGTTCCAAGAGAGTCGGTCGAACTCTCTAAGGGCGATATCTCTTGGCGCTTCCACCTGGCAAAAGACCGCAGAGGGACGAGGACCGGGGGACGACAGGGGGCAGGAGGACAGGGGAACGGATAGCGCGACACCCCTATGGAGAAGCGAGGCGTAGAGTTTCATCCACATGATGCGCGCGTTCATCAACAACTTTTACACGCTGGAGACATGGGTCCTGACCCCTACCCCCGGACTCTATGGTGTAGCACTTACCCGTTGTCTCGGAGCGCCGCGACTGCTCTCAACCGGAACATGGCTCGAGCTGGACGTGGCATGCGCTCGTTTCCTCGAATCCCCCGTATCTTTCCCCGGCGTTGAAGGCATCAATTCAGCCTGTCGGAAGCCATCACAGTGGGAAAGATAACGTACACCGGAACTTGGAAGTAATTTATGCATGCACATGTTCATGGATCGACTTATAAGATCTGGTGCACACAACCACCGTGAAAAATGCCGCTAGCGCCTGTCGCCGAAGCTGTAGTATAATCGGGCGAGGGCACGGTATGCAGAGGGTTTCCGCTTCTCTTCGCTGCGGTAGATACAGCAGTAGTTTAGATACATTTTACTACACGTATAACGATAATAGTGACAGGCAGAGTTTTTGTAAAATCTGTATAGTAAAGACTCAATACTCAAATAATGTCTGCACTCACGGTCAGCAAGAGCTCTCTCGGGCGCGGAACATCGAGGACAAGGCATACCTACCGCAAGCGACAGGGTGCCCGTCAACGTCATCTCCACATTGCTAACTGCCAACAGCGAGGAACTGAGAGAGAATAACGGTCCGCATCTCCAAAACCAAAAAGCATTTTTTTTTTTACCACAATCCATGCACTTCT